TACAAAACATGTTTGTTATTAATGGATGAGATAGATTTAATGTATATCATCAGTTTTTTTTTTAAATGACAATTTAAAAAATCCTAATCAGTTTGGATAGAATTTGAAGTGCTTATCTGATAAGCACTATGATAATTTCGAAGTTAGTGTTATCTTTTTCTAATTAATAATGATATAAACTGTAAAGATAATTTCGAAATTAATATGTTGACTAACATTGATCCTTAAAATTTGGGATATGAATGGTTTTGAGCGGGAAAATATTGACACCTGGGTAACCCTCTACAATAAATACCTATGTTTGCTTCTCTGAAATTCGATAATGACTTGATTCTTCCACCTGGGAAGAAGGTATGTTCACATATTTTTTGTTTTCTCTTTTGATTTAATTGTTACGTTGTAACTAATACTACTTTTGACATAGAAAAACGGCCATAATGTCGAACTCAAGTAGCATTGTAAATAAGCAGGAATGTGAACAAATCATCCTTCAACTTTGTATGCATGAGAAACATGAGAAAGAAAAGAAAAGGGAATGGGCATTGCTAAATTGGAATTGGGATGAGGTTATTGATATTCTAAGTTCTGAAGATGAAAAGCTGGATGATGAAGCTGTGGAAAAGTCTGACACATTAGATTCAACAAAACCAAAAACTTTGTCACCACCACTGAAGAGACCCCGTGTCAAAGTTCAAAGCCGAAACAGATGTTATAGGCTTCGTGATGAAGAAGATGGTGAATTTCCTGTTGATGTCGGGTAAGATCATTTGTACTTTGTTTTACAAACGATCATGAAAAACTGTTTTTTTTATATATTTCAAGGATCAAGAAACTTATGAATGCCTTAAATTTTATTTTTTTGTCAGGAGTGGTTTGATTACTGTTGCAGCTGAAAACCAGCCATCTCAGGATGATGAAGATGCAGTTGTTAACACCTAAGTTTTTTTAGTAGATTTATTTGATGTTGGAATTTTTATGGTTGTCTTTTTTTTGGATTGTTTCAAATAAGTAACATGTTTTTATGGTGTTGTTTTTCCTTTGCTATTACATTATTATTTTCTGGGGTATAAATGCATGCCTTGTTTTTATGTCTTTTAAAAGGCAACCAATGTCACACAATCCATAGGTATTTATTGTAGAGGGTTACCCAGGTGTCAATATTTTCCCGCTCAAAACCATTCATATCCCAAATTTTAAGGATCAATGTTAGTCAACATATTAATTTCGAAATTATCTTTACAGTTTATATCATTATTAATTAGAAAAAGATAACACTAACTTCGAAATTATCATAGTGCTTATCAGATAAGCACTTCAAATTCTATCCAAACTGATTAGGATTTTTTAAATTGTCATTTAAAAAAAAAACTGATGATATACATTAAATCTATCTCATCCATTAATAACAAACATGTTTTGTAATCTGATTAAATGTCACACATATGACATTTAATCAGAAAATCGATCATTCTTCAAATATGACATTTAATCAGAAAATCGATCTAAAAATGAGACATTTGGTGTTTATCGATTTTTCAGGGTCGACGGGTTGTATGAAAAGCGAAGGCTGAGTAATTGAAAATTAGAGGATCGATGGTTGCTACTAATTGCTTGTAACTGGTATTGGTTTCATATCGATGGATGTGGATTCGCATATGAAATCAATTGTGTTCGCATATATGAAATCAGTTCACATATGACATCAATTGAGTTCGCATTTGGTTTTGTGGGTCAAAACAGTTCGCATAAGAAGTTCACGATTTGTTTGAGGTTAATTGATTTTGATTTCGCAAGCTTGGAGTCGGAGATCTGGATTGTGTTCGCATCTATAGAATGCGAGGAGAATTTAATGGTGATATTCAGTTCGCATTTGGTGACACAAGTACGTGGTTGATGATTTTTGGTTGGTTCGCATTTGAAATCAGTGGGTTTCGCATTTGGGTTCGTATCTGGGTTTCTCAAACAACTGAAATGCGAATATGAGACAACTGATTAATTTCTCAGTTAATGCGATGAAATGCGAATGAACTCAAAGACGGATGGATGCAAGATGCGAAGAATTTGAATGAAAATGCGAAGTTTTTAATGTATAAATGCGAATGAACTCAAAGACGGAAGAAAGTTTTTAATCTTAAATGAAATCATAGTTTCCTAATAAATTAATTAACAAAATACTTAACCCGAAAACAAAATCGAAAACCAAAATATAACCACATAACGTGAACCCACCAAACCAATTACGAATGTCAAAGAAAGACACATGAGAATTAACAAAAAAAAAAAAAAAAACTTTCATTCACAAATGGTATAATGCATAAATAAAGCTTATTTTTTTCATTTACATACAAAATATTAAGAACAAAACACTCCCATGTTCTTGTACATGATACATACAAAACAAAGAAGAAACTATTATTCATATGGTACCTTCAAATATAAGAATGATACAATAGTCAAATATGTATATGATAAAATTTGAAACAAATCAATCCAAATTCACAAAATTTTGTCAGTTAAATTTTTTTTGTTGTCTGACAATAAATGAAACCAAAAACTTATGCATTGCAATTTTCAAAAACAAAACTTACAAATGGGTTTACCCCAAACAATAACAAAAACTTACATATTGCAACTTTAAAGAAAAAACTAAACATTCAACTACAAGAGCTCTAAAAACCCAACAAGAAGATCATATTCAGATCTTAAGAAGCTTACCCACGATTTCTTTGAGATGTTGGTTTATATCAATCCATTTCAAGTCCTGTAAACACACATAAACACAAAGTTAGACATACGCATAGATACAGGACGATGGTCAGCAGCACCGGAATTTTAGAAGGATGCATAGAGGAAACTAATATGTGGAAGCTATGAGGTAGCTTTTTGATAGAGAGACAGAAAGGGGAAGTGCAAAGAACGATAACAAAGGTGGTGGGTTTAGCAAGCATTGTTATTTTTCTTGAAAACAAACATTAATTAAATGGATAAGGATTCAACAACTACAGTAAAATGATAGAGTAATAAGATATTTCCTTCATTAACTGGAGTCCATATCAGTACAGATAGTTGAAGATATACCTGAATTGATACAGATAGTTGAGAAATGTCAAAAGGACACAAATACCCTTAGTACCACTTAAACAAGAAAGCTTTACTCTAGATACACTTATACAAGAATATTTAATATACAAATGATTACCCAAAATGTAGACAAACATCAGAACCTGAAATGGAGAGGAAACACCGAAAATTGAGAGTAAACATTGACGATTATGTGATAAATGACTGAAAAGAACACTTTAAAATTGCTAACAAAAACCTGTATTGTTAGAGAACGTTTGTAAATTAATAGTGTTTGCCTCCTGGTTCTGCAATAGAGAGAGAGAGAGATGGTTGGAGACCTATGACCACAAAAAGAGAAATTCTCAAATTCACAAAATTTTGTCAGTTAAAGAGCACTAACCTTGAAATCGTGTTGGATCCTGGTCCACTGTGACACTTGTGAAAATGGTTGTCTGAGGTTTCTAGAGAGTCGAGTGCGACCAGCTGTGAGTAGTAGATGGTTAGGTCTCCAGGTATGTGTGTAAAATGCGTAACACTTACGACCTCACAGATAAGAAATTTTTTGCAGTCAATTGGTCATATAAGGGGATGGGGCAGAGATATGAAGAAAAAGATTCGTTCTAGACTTGACCGGTGCAATCGATCAAAATCAAATAATTAGAGAATAGAACAGTAGCATATGCTAGATGTCGAGAGATGGGGGTTGTGAACGGTGGTAAGATGAAGTGCGATGATGATGAAGGTGGCCTGTTTGATGGTAGTGAAGGTTATGTGACAACAAAGTTTACTGATGGTGTTGTGATGTTCGATATTCGGGTTTCTAAAGGAGATATGCAAGAGAAGAGAAAGGCAGAGGTGTTTAGCAGCGACTGTAATGGTCTCAGTGGTCAAGGTGTGGTGGGTAACTGCGTCGAATATAGGGAGGAATTTTAGAGTATTTAATAGAGAGGGAGAGAGTTCAAGGAGAGAAGAGATGGCGACTCATCTAGGGTTATTCTACAAGGAAGGGCTATAGATACTAAGATAAGAGATGATATATAAAGTTTATCTATAGACCGATTCAATTGGCAAAATCTGAGGAAGACGGGTTCTTCTTTGACCAGTTCAATTTGAAGAAGAAAGCCAAAGCCTATTCAATATGTACGTAATTCATGTTAACCGCGTAAGATTTGGTATTTTTCTATGCATAAACTCATTGTAAATAGCGTAATAAGGGTTATACCTCTTAAAATTTAATATTATTTTATTAATGATTACTTGTACTAACAGCTTAATGGTTTGGACGTCTTAAAAAATATTATTATTATATTGAATCTATTTATGGAAATAGTTGGATTTCTATTATAAAGTAGTATAGATATATATATATTACGTTATAAAACATCTTTAATCCAACGCTAAATTTTAAGTTGTCCAAACCTTATTGCAGTGTTTACAATCATTGATACATTAAAAATTTATTTGGTCATATAAGGATAAAAACCGGTTATAAAGACTAATTCAAATAGCCACCTCCACAATTTTTTGCTTAAAATATGGAAAGACTCATTCAAATCCCCAGGCCAGTTCATCGGCTCCCCGTCACCTATATCTTCCATCTTCCCGTGGAAGAATTCAGAAAACCTTAGCATCCCTCCTTCAAGTCTCCGTCATCATCACCATACACCACCATCTTTGCTGCTGCTGCCCATTTGCACCACACCACCATCAACTTCACATATTTCCCCTCTATCTTAGAAGACAGTGACCAACAAACTTATCTGAAAATAAATCAGTGAAACTTATCTGTAATAGTCAAAGTTAAAATTGTATTCCCTCATTTTCAGTGTTCTCGGTGTTTCCATATTTTTAGCCAATTGAATAGGTATACCACATAAACTCTATATAATCTCCTATATCCCAGTCACTATATAGTGTATCGACATTCGTTGAGATCTATGCTCCTCATCCTTTCTCCTACCACTAACCGCTCCCTCTTTCTATCAGCCTCGAAGCACCGCCACCCAATCACCACCATCTCAATTAAATACCCCCAACAGCTTAACGCTCCTCTATCCCCTCATGAAAACCCATCTGGAGACAGCTGCGAAATTCATCGCACCCTCCTCATCCGCCAAACCTTTCTCCTCCACAACAGTCTGAAAAACCTTAAAACCACGATAAAAGGCAATATATACACAACCATCACCGCCCACCATCACAGAAAAACCCAAAGAAACCTTCATTTTTATCAAAGAGTTACAAATCCCTAACCTATTGCATTTTCTTTTACTGTAATTTTCGCAGGTTGCAGGGCATACATAAACTTATTCTCAAGATTAAGCAACATTTTACTCGTAGGCATTCATAGATTTAATTATTTTCTTTTATCATCTCTTGCCGAAAACGTATTTGCTATTTTTTTTTCTGTTCATCTCTGATTTGCTTAAAAGAAATTTTGTTTTTGTTTTTTGTTATCTAAGATGTGCAATCTGATTAAGCAAGCTTGGTGGAGCATTTTATGGATGTTTTCATAGTTGTAACCTCAGTTGTAGACATGAGGAAAGGTTGCACACCAAGTGTTTGATAAGAATCTCCAGCTAAATTTCATCTCAAATGGACAAGTTCAGTATTCCTCAATCTTTTTCTTTATTTTTTGATGAAACTTTTTCATGATTTTATGAATCATTTATTTAACCGAGGGACCAAGTTTGGGTAAACGAAAAGGGTATACAAATAAGAAAAAACACATTTAAATATGGATTTCTAATACTATAAGTTGTTTTGAATGTCTTTTACGAAGATCGGGTTTGTGAAGTGATATGATAGTATAGTATTGCTTGAGAGAGTCAAAACAACGAGATAAAAATAGCACTTTGTATTCAAAAAGGTTGTCCAGGGGGGATAACTGGGAACAACAAATTACAATTGTACGAGGACAAATCATTAGATTGTGATGTTCAACAAGGTATAATTTTTTTTATTTATCATATATCATGCTTTGTGATTACAAAGATGAAAATAGTAAAACGGTTATAAACTCATTAATAATTATATTAAAAAGTTATATCAAACATACTTCTGAATGGGATCAAGGTCCAAATAGTTATACTAAAAAAGCTTAAACAATTATACCAAAAATACCTCTGAATTGTGTATATTTTTAACTACTTTTAAGCCAAACCTTGAGATGATTTATACTCATTTCTTTCAACTATATATTTACATATTCACTCCTTTTGATATTTATAAAGATGGGACAACAAATTTTGCACATGGGTATCCAATCTTTGCAACATCTGTGGGAATGCTCTTCAAATGAAAGTTGCAGCTGCTGCTGTGATATGAAAATTATGATTTTTTTTTTATTTTTTTTATTTTTTTATTTTTTTATTATCATAACCCCTTAATATCTACTTCGATTGTTGAGCTCATAGACTTCAGCAAAAAGTTAGCTTCTTTTATGTTTTTTAGTTACTTTATTTTATTTTTAGACAATTTATTTTTACTTTTCAAGTAAATAGTTTGACCGGTGGAAATGATAATTCCTAGAGTAGTATCACCATCATTCCGTCAAAATCATATTCTAAACAAGATGATTTTCATATAAACCACGTGTTATAGATCGTTTCTGACATTTTGGAACTATATCAGGTACAACACATAAAACTTTATATAGTTTTTTTTATTCACACAACAATTTATACTAACTACATTCTCCTTTGTACAGGAGAGTGTGAAGGCCACCGAAAGCTTTTAATCTTCAAATTAGAGAAGTAAATGGTTTACTTTGAAAAATAATTATATTTTTTATTATAAATTATTTTGGTAACTTATTCTACAAATTCATTTCTTTTATATATTTTTGATGGTTGTAGTTTATGTACAAGTTTTAGAAGCATTAAAGTACGTTGCTGTAATCATGGATTTTGATAAAGTACATTGTTATTACTTGCCATGAATAAAATGTCGAAAATACCTTTTATGTGATATACAAAAAGGGGAGCTAACCATAGCATTCTTTTATTTCTTACATTTTATGTGATATAAAATACCTTCATATATTACATTCTTTTATTTCCTTTAAATTTATCATATTAACATAACCATAAGATTTCGTGATCAATTGAATATTCAGTAACCTTACAAGTTGTTGATTTCCTTTGGTTTTGGTTTCCCAATTAAGATTAAGTTTTAGGGGATAAAGTTTGAAGTTGCTAAAGATCCACCAAATATTTTGCATCACAATCTTCAGTTGAGAGGCTATTCGAGTAAAACATAATTCATGAAATTCGATGCATGTTATAGGATGCAATGGAAAGTAGACATTATGTCCACAAATTATTTCTATAATTTATTGTAATTTGTAGTATTTGTAATGGTTAGTTTAAAAGTTTTATTGTTTCAAATTATTTATCTTTATTGGATTTTTTAGAGACGTTATTGTAAAAATATATAAAGGAGTTTCTTTCATACATATGATAAGTAGTTCTTTTTTGGTTGGATAATATATATCTAAAAGAAATCTTGAACAAAGGTAAAGAATAGTAAAGAGCACAATGTTGAAAACCATAATAAACCGACATTTTCGATCCGTTTAACCAAGAAGCGGTCAGGTTAGAGTTTTTTTGAGCCGTTCAACCAAGAAGCGGTCGGGTTAGAGGCTTTTTGAAGGCCAACAACCACTTGTATACGAACTAGAGAAAATCGGTCGGTTTTTATGAAAACCGGTTTGACTGTAGCTGATTCAACCATTAAAATCAGATTTTAGAAAATGATGATTTTGTTTTTATTTTTAAGTATCTTAAAATTGAACTTAATATAATTTTATTTGAATTTTGTGTAGGATCTGGAGCCGAATTTCTTGGCCTCTTTTAACTTATTTTTTCTTTTGTATTTTTTGAACTTTTTTATAATTATGATATAATAATGACATTATTAGGTTTTGGACTGGTTGGACCCGTTGAAAATGACACATTATCATTCAAACTAAAGAGAAAATAATTTTATATTTGAGTATTCGATTATGTTTTGCATGGGCTTGTATTGTCAAGAGGGATATCACGTGACAAAACAATGGTATTAGTAAAGAAGGAACAAAACAAATCATCTCTGTAAATTAATTTCTAAAAACAATATGCATACCCGACGCTTGGCACGGATAAACGGCTAGTGTGTGTGTATATATATATATATATATATATATATATATATATATATATATATATATATATATATATATATATATATATATATATATATATATTGAAAAGGACCAAACTAAGGAACAATAAAGTTGATGTTTTTTTGGCACTTTCGGTCCTTTGTTTATGTTGGTTTGTATTTTTTGGATTTTTTACTGATATTTTTGTTTTGGGCAATTTATGACATTGTATCTAATCTTTGTGGACACGTGTTTGTATACGTGTCTGCTTCTTTTTATTCACTGTTTATATGTGTCTGTTTCTTTTTGTTGACCGTTTTATTCTCCAATGACATTCATCCGGATACATTTCTTTCCGACTTCACTTTTAGGCACTCCGTTTCTTCTACATCCAACTCATACCCCTTATCGCTTCTCTCTCGGATGTTCCTCTGCTTCCTAGCACCCATGTAGATCGATTTCACCATTTCTCTCTGTCTTATCTATTTGTTCCATATTCAAGCCCTAAATCGATTGTGACTTGCAATTATAGAAAGAAAAAAGAGAGAAGGAATGCAGAGAGAGAGAGAGAAAAAGAGGGAGATAGAGAGAGACAGAGCACATCACCTACGAGACACCCCCTTCACCGCCACGCACTACCACCATGGTTAAAGTCGGAAGCTCATAGATGTTGATTTCCGAGCACCGCTTTTTGTCTTCATTCATAGCTTCTGGAATGGCCCAAAGTGATGTCTATGTGCTCTCTTCCTTCTTCATGAGGTTTTCTATGAGCAAAAGGAGACGAACCATTGACTCAAGTAAAATCCTTGATTTTCTTCAAATCGGTTCTTGATTCGGCTTTCTTCCACGTAGTTCACAATTTGGAAAAGTTCATGACAGTTTACCCGACTCGGCAATGAAAAAAACGACACCGATATGTCCAATTCGTGTGTCACGTGAAGTGGTCAATTTCTACGGCACCTGTCCCGATAATCGTAACACATCCTCTCTTCTATATGTTGGAGGTGTTCATATTTTATTTTAATTTTTAATGTGTTGGGTTTGAATTTTGTTGCAGACTTTGAAAAAATAAGGTTTAAGAGAGAAACCATATCACGTAAGGTTACTCATACCTTCCCCCTCTTCCGTTTTGGTGATGTCTCTTGTGTGTTTTTGATCGTCTGTTTCTTTTTATTTTAATGTTCTTTGGCCATTGTCTGTTGTTGTTTGCAGGTTTTCAAACTTCTTTTGCTTCTACTTCAACAGTCAACTGCTTCTGGTATGTTTTCTGATGAATATTTTTTTATGTTATTAGTTTATGTTCTTTTATGTATTATGTATTTGTTTACTTTATGTTTACGTGCTTTGCCTATGTAATCAGTATCAATATAGGTTCATGTTCCTTTAAAGAAAATTGATTTGTTTGCCTTTTCTCCTTTGGCTTTGCAGTAGGCACAAACGTAGACTATTGAGTTTTAGGTGACTTGGATGGTGACATAAATGAAGCTATTTCACCAAATTGCTGGGTGCCTGTTCCGTTAATTCAATAGCTTTAGGTATTTAACATACATTTCTCAATTTTAAGTGCTTAATCTATTAAGCTCATGAAGTTACAAATAGAAGATTCATTGTTTTTGTTTAGGTATTTATGTAAAGTTGCATCTGCTGTTATAAAAAAATGTTCGGACGTTTAAAACAGCAAAAGAAACGGCTGATGCAATGCAGTGGGACTAGATTCATATGTAGTTTGTTTTTTATATCAGATTTATAATAGGCTTTACTGCATTTGATGCATAAGTTTTCAAAACATCAAAAGAACCATGTCCAATCAAATGCTGAAAGATTCCAACAGTTACAATATCCGATTTATAATTGTTTGCAAAAAGTGATCTCAGCCATGAGACATCATCAACAATGTCTCACACTCCACCAGTTGCAAAGACTTCGTCATATGAAGCTATAGGTAAATTTGTATATTTTGTATTTATAGCATAAAATAATACAATCCAACATGCTCCTATTAATATACAAATGAAGACGCATCCAAAGAACAAAAACACAAGCTGCAATAGCCAACTACATCCCTTCACAACAACATTATAAACCTCCTTTTTTGATATGCCACTCCATAGGCACTACCTTTTATCTACATAACTTCTAGGTGTGTAAACAGTTAATATATGAATCGATATACAATACTTATGCATATTTTGTATCTAAAACACTAGATAAAACAATGTGTAGTTAATTATAGAATTTTACTTAAGTTGCCATAAAAGTAATGGTGGCTTACAACAGATAATGTAAACACTCCATATACCTAATTAAGTAAAATACAATTAAGACCATACAAATCCATTTCCATCTAATACTGTTTTCCAACTATTTTTATTAAACATTTAAAATTTTTACATTACTCCAAGTATAAACAAAACATAGTAAAAACACTATATACAATTTCACGGTAGCATGAATATTACAAAATACAAATGATTTCATTTGCAATCAATATAAAAAGTCAGAGCCCACTAGTAGGCAATAAAAAAGCATTAATGGGCTCATTTTTACAACAACGACTTCACTGTTAAACCAAACTGAATGTTCACTCCAACTCAACAGTCAACACTCTATCATTAATCTAATACACTTTAATATTGATGCTACATCCGGATTAAAATTACACATACTCTGTCAAAAATCTGCTTCAAGAATGAGGCTCAAACAATCACACCCTCTCTTGTTTTCAAAGTATAAACAAATAGTTCATGAAAGAATATTTACAGAGAACCAAACAAAAAATCTCGTTGCGGGGTCACTCACCTAGTTTAAATTAAATTTAGTGATAATTGTCGCCGTCTATTTAAATAAATAGGAAGATAAAAAAAAATAGAAGGATATTTACCATTCAAGTTGTTCTCATCTAATCTTTACTCTATAGTATAGTGGCTTTAAACTAAAAGTACTCTTTATTTTTTGGGCTTTAATATCCAATTGGCCTTTCATGGGTTCATGTCCGTCCACTTGGTGACGAATAGTACTAACTACTAACGATAACGAACATTGTGATGTCAATTGTAACCCCAAATCATAGTGCTTCAAAATTGACAATCTGGAATTTAGCGTATTTGATGAAAGATTGATCCAAGCAATCCCATAATTGTTGTGCATGTTCTTCCATTATCTTTTTAGCATTGTGTTTGGTAATCTCTATCTCAAAAACCTCACACAGTTTCATGTCACAGTGTCATGATGAACATTGTTTGAATTAGGAAAATTTGTTTCAATTTTGCATTGTTGGTTTAAATCCGAGGAGATATGAGGGATGAGGATTCCCTGCCGATATCAACATCGACAACAATATATTCATCATCGGCATTGATTTCTAATAAGAAGGAGACCCTAGATTATAGCATCTTTAGAAGAGGCCGGTATAAGTTTTGGGTTTTCGCCGCCATTATCCTCCTCGCATTTTGGTCAATGTTTACAGGCACCGTCACTCTCCGCCTCTCCGTCGGCAACCTCAACCAATTATCCGATGACATCGCTAATGGCCCTCCTATCTATGACGATTTCGACGTCCTTGTCCGTCCTTTTCTCTCTCTGTGTGAATGTTTCCGTGTTTCTTTGGATTCGTTGATCTAATTTCTGGTTTTGAATAGGAAATGGAGGAGCGAGAGAAAGTGGTGAAACATATGTGGGATGTATACACCAATAGCCGTAGGATCAGATTACCTCGATTCTGGCAGGAGGCGTTTGTGGCTGCTTACGAGGATTTAACAAGCGACACGCCTGAAGTGAGAGAAATTGCCATGTCCGAGATCGCTAGAATGTCTTTACACTTTATTCATCTTGATCCTCCTCCTCTCCAATCAACGGTGCGTATTATACCTAAAGCCCTAGATTCTACGTTGAATTCATAAATATTAATTTAACAGTGACTTTAGAAAGAACTAAGCTTTGATTGAGTAACATATATGGTTACCTTTGAATCTCTTTCAAATGGTTGCATTGTTGGTAGTGTGTACAACACATAATTGATAGTAATCACCATCCTTTCCACATTCTCCTTATATCAGTACCAGACTTTATGTTTGTCTGACAATAATATACATAATGCACTTGGTGTACATTGGACAATGAGAATGGAAGTCGTGACACAAGAGAGCTTTTGGTTTTTGAATTTTAAAAACTACCAAATGTGTTTGGCCACTAATACATGTCCCCTATTTTATTTGAGAGAATAACATATATGCATATAAGTCATAAGAAATTAAGAACTTGATACATAAGTAACTTTAAGAGTTTGAAGTTAGATTAAGTGTATGTTGAAAAAAAAAAACAATGATGATCAAGTACAAAAGTTACTTGATCTTAATCAAAGTTTTCTAGTTATTGAGGTAGAGCTTATTTCATCAATGTATGGAAAAATGCAAACCCTTCAAACTTGACATCCTTTTAGGAAAGTACTAATAACTCTACAGCTTTTAGAAAATCCCACACTGTTTTTAGTTGACAAATATATAAAGTAGCAACAACATTTGAGATATTTGTTTATGAATATTTTGATTGCTCATTAGAGACTAATTGTGTGTCTACACAAACAATAGCAACATCAATTCCTACTTTTCCAAAACAACCATATTTTTTTCCTATTGATGGTTAAGTAATCTTTTGTCCTTTTTTTGTGTTGGTAGGAAAATTTGATTACATCACGAACTGTTCCTAGCTTTATTACACAACTACCTTCTTAGTAGAAGTTGAAAAGGGGTAACTAGGTAGTATAAGAATTGTACATACATGTTCTTTAACCCTTTTCTCGATTTATAGTCAAAAGATTTGTAATCATGCTTAAAGTCTAACCACTCGTAAGTAAAAGCTAAAAGCATGAACACACCTCATTTCAGCACTCAGCCTTTATGGCTTATTGTCATGGCTTGCTAAGTTATAGATGTATTACATGAAGTTAGACTTAAAATTTTGAAACCATCTACATGAGTCAAGAGAAGAGTTCATAGGAGGGAAGAAGGATCTTTCATGTAAAATACATTGAAAATGAGTAAAGTATTCTAGAACTAAGTGTCGTACGATGAGCTTATAAAGACAAGTCTTAGATAAATGCTATCAAAGCAAGCTTGTTCTAAATTTGGGAGAAGGTTAAGAATTGAAGGTGATAATGAACAACAATTCTAAGGCTAACATAGAGGTGGGTTTGAATGTGGGCGAGAAGAATATAGTACATGAAGAGCCTTGTCAATCATCACACATGAATTAGAGAAAGTCCAAAGACAGTAGAGGATGCCTTGACACACGAGTCGTAGAAGTAGAGACTTCAATAAAAACATGTCATAGGGAGCTTGGTTATGTTCAACAACTAGAGGGGTTGCGGAAAGAGAACGAAAGAGTTGAGACGAGTAGACGACGATCTTGTCCTTAACTCAACATGTTTGATGGAGGCTTACATTGAAAGATTTAATGACTACTGGAATCATGATACAAACCAATCTCATACTAGGCTCATATCATGCCATAAATCTGAAGTGCATAACTCAATGCTAAAAATGGTTTATAAGGGGATGGGACGCCTAGACTTATAAGCCACCAACCCAACTTATATTTGACTGATGTAGGATTGTGACAATACCCCATACTTAAAGGGATAATGTCTTTGTTGCTCACGAGGTCAATAACCCTCTTTTCGGGTCCAAACCACCACTCCCAGTGTTGGAACATTGTAAGGTGGGGATGGATCGTATACCAAATGATACAAATCCATCCGATACTAGGTTCATGTCATACCACCACCCTAAAAAACCAGCTTGGGGTGGGGGATACTTAGACCTATAAGCCACCACCCTAACTTATATTTAGCCGATGTAGGAACATAAGAAATCACTCATAAAGGAATTCAGGAAGTCAATAATAAAAAGGGTGTGTGAGTCTCTAGTGAGAGAGATGCATGAAATGTTAGCAGGAGAGCTTGTTTTGTTTACATGAACAAGCATATAGAATTTTTTTCCTTTGTTTTCAAGATGGTGGCTAGTGGAGATGGTGCTTCTGCTACTACATTGAGGATCGAGATTCCAAATTGAAACTATTTGTTTGGTAGGAGAGGGGAAGGGTGGTGGTTAGCTTTCTATGAGATTATTTTTGCTTTTCGTACAATATTTACGTTAGTTTTGTTTCCCTTTTTATTTTTAAATTACTTTGAGCTTTATGATGGTATTTGCTTTTTTCTTCCCCTTCTACCCCTTTCCTATCATTTATTTACTAGGGTCGGCTTGATTATCTATGGAAGCAGTCTCTCTACCTATAGATGGAGGTACGACTGCTTACATCTTACCTCCTTTTGCTCTATTCCTATTGGACTTTGATTTTGTTGTTGTTGTACTCTTGAGACGCCAGAATTTCCGAAGAATTTCCAGACGGTGACTCATAATCCTACTTTGGATGGTGACTCATAGTCCTACTTTATTGGTTAGCTACAACAATTGACAGAGTTGAAATTAAGCAGGTTAGGGGTGTTCATCAACCTTAGTAAAAGGGATCTTTTGAAACCTTAGTATGAGGATAGTGTGAGAGTATAAAAACTTCATGTATGGAACACATAGGGCATGTTTGGCACTGAGCATTTGGGAGCGTTCGAGAGCTTCTAACAGCGTTTGACAAAACGCTTCGTTTTGAACAGAAAGTCTCGTTTGGCACTTCAGTTTAAACAAAATGCTCCAAATCTAAATGCTACTTCATGTAGCGTTTAATAAACGCTACAAGCTACAAGCTACCCGCTACCTATTACAAGCAACCTGTTTCCAGCTGGTTTTGCTGAACACGCCCATAAACATAATGGTGATGGTCGTCAAGGAGAAGTCGACATACATTACTCTTTTTTTACAGACATAGGCAATGTACTTAATTTTTTTATCCATCATGGCAACATACATACATCTTGTTTTACTAATAATAGCAAATATGTAACTCATTATACCAACGTACATTCATTTTTACACATAATAACAACATACTTACAAAACTTTACTCATAATAGCAACATACTTACACCGAGATAATAGCAATATGTAATTTATATTGGTAGCAAAATGTGAGTACATTTCTATTATAAAGAAAAGATTAAAATAAATACATAGCTATTATATGTAAGAAATATAAGTATGTGTTATTATGTTCATACTTTTTAAAGTATATTATGCATAGTTTTAGGTTTGGAAAAATTCTGATGTGAATTTTATATTTTATATATGGTTTTAACAGAATTTACGAGAATTAAGTTTAAGACATGCACAACAAAACAAGGCCGGGATTCCAAGAAAGTATAGGTGATTGTCGATTGATTAGATCCAAGAGCCATTTTTTTATACTCATTAAATTCCTCATATTGGTTTGCACTTCGTAAAAAGTAGAGAAGATTATATCATATTTATACCCCACAGTTTTATATGTTTTTACACGTTTGTATTTATTTATTTATTTATTTAGGCACCAAATCTTGCATCATTTTTAGTGTTTATTTTGTTTATACTTTCACAAACTTTCCATCGTATTGTATGCACATAAGGATACAGTTAGTTTAATTTGTTTCTTTTAAGGTATTTTTTCAACATCAAAATACGTGGATTTTTCTATGTTGTTAAACTGTGGTTCTCCATTGTTGTAAAATAAAATAGATACAAACAATATATAAAAGCGTTTCTCCATTGTTGTAAATTAAAATAGACACAAACAGTATATAAACGCATAGGCAGTTAGTAATTAAATGTGTTTTATAAAAAAAATAATTTTCTTATAATAAATTGATAATGAGATTCGTTGTTACAAAATTAACCATCATTAATACACCAAAATGGGATGTGTTACTACTTACTACCATGTTGTTAAAATCTCGATTTATTTGTTATTTATACGACTAATCTCCAAAAGAAAATCAGGCTAAAAGCACATGACCTTATAATAATTATGAGGAATCATAAGTTTAGTACTTTTCTTTGGAAATTATTACAAAAGAATAGTTTATTTCTTAAATTTGCAAAAAATAAATAAAAATAAAAGATATTTTGTGATCTGTTTCGTAAAATGTTTTGGAAATAATGAATCTGTCAAATGAAATGGAATATGACGGGATTGAAATTAGATAGGATTGGAGTTTGTTTTATTTAGTTGAACTTTAATGAAATTTGTTTTTTGTTTGGTTTGAATATTTATTAAATGATATTGCAAAGTAATTATTTAAGATAAAATTACTAAACTAACCATAATTTATAATTACTTATTTATTTTTACCCAAAAAATAGCAATTATCCCATAATAGTTACTAAAACCATAGATTAAAAATAAAAATAAAAAACCTACGGTCAACGTAACCAAAAAAAATTAACTACGTTTTCGGGCAATTGGCTACTGTTTCGTGGGCCGTTTACTCTTTCAGAGCTTGTCGGCCTATAGCATATAGAGTTTTAGTTTTTAGATGACAAAATTGCAAAAATGGTCTCTGTGGTATGCAAATTTTTGGAGTTTTAGTACAAACAATGATTATAATATCCTTGGGGTATTTATTTTTCATTTTTCTTTCATTATTCTTAAAATTTAATATTTATTTATTTATTTTAACAATTAAAAAAAATGAAAAAGGGTCTACCTCTCTCTCTCTCTCTCTCTCTCTCAAAAACCAACCCCTCATATGTTCCTAGCCTTGCTGGAAAAACGAAGCCAAATAGTGGAGACTGCCACCAATGGTGATCTAGAAGCAACCACCACACCACCTGTTAGCCTCCCGTCGGCCACTAAATGCCACCGTAAACCCTACAGCTCCGCCACCTTCCATTGTTGTGCTGGAAAACGAGCAGGAAGAAGCTACACCACCCCACTGCCACCACCTTCTCCCCACCGAAAACAACAATCCCAACCCTACTCTACAAATGGTGGGGCTGATTTAATCAAAGTGTTATATACAATGGGAAAACAGGTTTGTGTCTTCATCTGATCGGGAATGGACACGAACGAAACTAGTCAAAAAATTGAGGGCACCGGTGGGGTCAAACAGATCGCGGCGAGGGGAGAAGGAGTTCATCAAGACCGACGATTCCTCCTTGGCCTTATTGATTTCATCGTTGGCAGCCACATATCGAGGAAGGTGAAGTAATTGCAGTCGATGACAGTTTTGGTGTGGCCGGTAAATACCGAGGAGGGGAAAGGAGTCGATATCTATCGAGCTTTCCTTGGTCCTCTCACCTGTTCGCTGGCAACAATAAACCGGGAGAAACAAAACAACTTAAACTTTCGCCATTTAGGGGTGTTTGGTAGCTCCAATCGGCTAAAAAGAAGGAAGAAGGGGTAGGGTTTCGTTGGTGAACTGTGAATGAGAAAGGGAGGTGGAGGCGGCGGTCGTCGTTTGTGGTGGTGAGGGAGGCTGCTCCAGCGGCTTCCCTTGGTTTCCTTCGTGCTGATCCAGTAGCGCACAAGCAGGAGAAAATCCGTAGCAGCAGCTGGGGGTGTTTATGGGTGGTGTATCACGATATGATCAAGAGGAAGAACGAGGGTTCTTGCCCCTCTAGCCTCCCCAAAAAATGAAGAGAGAGAGAGAGAGAGAGAGAGGCCCCTCCTTTTTTAATTATTAAAATAACTATTAGATTTAAAAAGTTGAAAGAAAAATGAAAATAAATATCCCAATGGTATTATAGTAATTTCATTATTTAGAGGGACTAAAAACGCAATGAAACTAGCTCAAAAGGACCATAAAACCAAAAAAGTCGATGTTTGGACTAAAACCCCAAAAAAATGTATACCACAGAGACTATTTTTGCAGTTTTGTCTTTTTAGATTAGGTTATTTGTGTAATTTCCAAATAAGTTAGACTACTATTTTATGTTAATAGAACTTTCAAAGAATAATAATGTATCTTTTGATTCTTGTTGTAATTTTAACGTATTTTTTATTAGGACTAGCTTTTATAGATATAGTTTTTTATTAATACCCGAAAAGAAAAATATGAAACCGTAGACTTCATACGAAACATTCGGTGTACAAGTAGACAATGCACACATTGTGCATCGAATGCTTGTACACCGTAAGTTTCCTTGATGAAATCGTAGGTTTTTCAAAAACTACTATTTGGGAGACTGTAACCCTTAGGAAGTAAGGTGTTGTTTGTTTTTTTGGAAAAAACCTTATTAGACCTCTTATTGTTGCGCGACGCAACACACGCGCAACACTTTTCATCTCGCAGCTATTTGTTTTTCAAAAGTCTTCGGATTAAAAAAAAATTTGTGCATGTTATTCTTGGTGCAACACTTGTTTTGTCTCTCCCTACCTCTTCCAACATCTTTTTTTTTCTTGTTAAAATATTGATTATATATTGCAGAAATCTTATTTCACTTTTTTTTTTCGTTTTTTTTTTGTTTATTCTCGTTGAATTTTTTTTCCTTTTTTTTTATATTGAATAATAATAATTTGTTGATGAAATATCATTATTTTATGCTGAAATATCTTTATTTTTTTTGTTAAAATATTATTATTTTTTGCTGAAATATCATAAATTTTTGCCGGAATGACATACATTATTAAATTTTCGATATTAAAAAACTATTTTCGGATTATAAAATAAGATTATTTCAAATTTTTTAATATTTGCAGCAACATGCAGATGTTAAAAAAACAAACACGATTCTTATTAGAGTATTCAGCCGTTTGATCCACCTCTTCTACTGAAGAAGGTTGTAGAGGTGGTCTGTAGACTTTATAAATTTTTTCTTTAAAAAACAAACAACACCTAAATCGTAACTTATAAGAAACCTTCGATTTTTATTTCAAAAATGGAAATATATATATATATATATATATATATATATATATATATATATATATATATATATATCACTTTTTGAGAAAGAGTGACAAATTATGAAACTTATGGTTTTAATGACGTATGTAGGATAAGTGATAATTTTAACACCTCATATTTATTTAGGACTGTTTCCTATTTTATTGGTTTTATTGGTTTTAGAGTTCGGTTAGGACTCCTTGTAAGGTTATTATATAAAGTCATCTAGATGTTTTATTTTATTCATTCCAACATCTTCTTTCTCTCCTTTATTCCTTGGAGATTTATCAGCAATGTAATCTTTTAATAAGAGTGTTGTTTTAATAGTGGTTTTTCCGGTTTTCCACGCAAAATCGTTGGTGTTTCTGGGTTGCTCTTTTTATAACGAGTAGGATATACTAATTACTGTTTTTTCTACTTTTTGTTGTTGTTCATTAGGGCTACTCTGAAGGGAGTGAAACTTTTACTTCGTCAAATAAGAAAAGGGTATGTGTGTTTGGTTAGCACTTAGTATCCAATTACCAATTTCGAACAATGTTTCTTTGTTTTACATTTACATAGGTCCGATTTTGAAATGGAGAAAGACTGTGGATATATTCAGATATATTCAACTCATGTTATCAGCCTTGTGAAAATCCTTATTTTTCTGATTTTGAATTTCCATTGACCCGCCTCATGTTGAGTCTGTTACGAGACTAAAAGTATCTGATTCTACTTTTTTCCTCTAAAAGTTGATAAATTTTTATATACTTCATCATTGGGTTAGAATAGTCCTGATCTGATTTGCAAATAGAAAATGTTAGTGTTTGTTCTGAGCTAAAGTTGCAAATAAAAATATCCTGATTTGAATTTGTAACTTTGAAGGTCATGACCATAATTTTTTTTTTTGTATGTTCCCTAATCCCTCTGTCTAATGTCTTGAAGTCAATAATCTCTCTAATTTCTTGAATCGGGATACCATTGGCAATCTTCTTCTTACATGCTTTGATTTTTGATCGCTTCTCTACATGTTGTGTTGAAAGTGGAAACACAAAAAAGATATTAAAATTCTATGTATCACAAGTTAGTGAAAACAAACTACATTGATTTTTAATTTTATGGTAAACCAAAAGATACAACAAAAGTTTCGTAAATTGTGGTTTTTTGGTCAAAAATTCAAAAATATCTACTTAATATCGTTTTTAAATGTAGTTAACACCATTCATTGAAAAAAGATAGTTATGGAAATGGAAAATATAGTGTATTTTAGAAAGACAATCACAATCTTATTTAACGGCCACATTCGCTTCCATTAAAAATAAAGTTCATAGCAGGATGTTATCATAGATAGAAATTCATTTCCTTTTTTATCGGATGATACTTTAATCCTTTTTGGATGTTATCATAGATACGTATCTGACAATTGAGCCTAGTCAAAGCTCATTGCGCGTCGTCTGAGCCTTTTACGATGCGCAATGAGCGTCGTAAAAAGCTGTTTTTCTAATAATGTTTTTACTAAAAATAGAGAAGTAATTATGGTCGATGGCTAGTTTAGTAATTTTCTTATTGACCAAAATATTGATTTATTTTTGTAAGTTATTTTATTTTTGAAAATGATAAACTTTCTTTATTAAACTTTAAAAACAACCGACCTTCAAATTTCGACAAATCCTACATGATCTTGAGCAAATTTGGTTTGAAATATTTTGTTCTTTGTTTAATTCTTAATTTAGTAAATAAAATAAAATTAAATGGTATAAATATCTTTCTACATACATAAAGGACATGTTATTTACGGCAAAGTTACATGGACTAATCATGTAAATTTTTTTGGGTAAATTATACCATTCGTCCCTCGTGCATATGTCAGAAAGCATGTTTAGTCATTATTTTCAAAAATTAACTCGGACCATCAATTTATTTGTTTTTCCTTACACGCTTAGTCCCTATTGACATGATTACCTTTTTACCCTTAATAATTTGTTTTTTCATTTTATTTTGTTTACTTATTAGTTTTAAATTATATATATATATATATATATATATATATATATATATATATATATATATATATATATATATATATATATAGGTTCAGGTTCATTTGAGACCATTCTAATTTTGTGAGACCGTGAGACCAAATCTAAAAATAATTTTAAAATGCAAAATAAATGGAAAAATCCAAAAATTCTTTTTTTAAATATTATTTTCGGAACTTGAATTAACTAAAAAAAATTAAAAAATAAAATATAAAAAAAATCTCGTTTTTTTTTTTTTTTTGAAAAATACGTGAAATATTCTAAATAAAATATTACACTGACATATTTTAAAAAATAATTTTAAAATGCAAAATAAATGGAAAAATCTAAAAATTCTTTTTTTAAATATTATTTTCGGAACTTGAATTAACTAAAAAAAAATCCTTTTTTTTTTTTAAAAAAATACGTGAAATATTCTAAATAGAATATTACACTGTACATATTCTAAAAATAATTTTAAAATGCAAAATAAATGGAAAAATCAAAAAATTCTTTTTTTAAATATTATTTTCGGAACTTGAATTAACTAAAAAAAATTTAAAAAAAATAAAAAAATAAATAAATAAATGACTCTCACGGTCTCACAAAATTAGGCCGTCTCACATGGACTTAACCCTATATATATATATATATATATATATATATATATATATATATCCCTACCCATCTCAAAATTTTCCATAAACCACCACATATAACCGCCAGCACCTCCGGCATCACCGCTTACCGCCAGCACCTTCGACACCACTGCTTATCACCGCCAGCACTTCCACACCACCACCTTACATACTTTCCTTCTTTTCACGGTCTGTTTCCTTCTCTTATTCCATCACCACCACCTCTTACTTATTCCGACAATACTACCGTATACCTATTCCAACACCACCAATCACCTCTAGACCACAATCTAGTAATATATCTTACATTTTACTTGACCCTCTCACATGCGAACCTAGAGCTCCGTTCAATATGGTGGTCTGGTAGCTTCACATGAGTTCTAGCCCTAAAGCTCTAGGAAACACATACATATCAAAATTGGTGCTGAGATCTACATTATAAATTCCGAAATTGAAATCAGTGATGAGAGAAAGAAATGGAAAACCACCCCTGCATCTTTATGAGATTGAAGTATGGGAATTGATAAAACAAACAGAAAGGAAAGAAAGAAACTAGAGTTCAAATTTTATCATATCTGAAAGATCTGCACTTGGTCCCAATTTGAACAAATTTAAAATGGTCTTTAGGCCCTTTCCCTCTGTAACCATGTTGTCGGAGCTACTGGCCGCCTCTGCCTCCGATTCGAACAAAGAAGAAAGAAAGAGTGATAGTTCTTTACTGAGACCGGAGAAGAAAGAGAGATCGATCGACAGTTCTTCATTTGGGGTGTCTTGATGCTCGCCGGAATAGATGAAATCGTTAAGGCGATGTTCCTCGACAAAAGAGAAATCCGAGTAAGTGATGGTGGGGTTTAGTAACCTGGAAACGAAGGAGGTAGAAGAAATGTAGAAGGAAAAGGGGAAAGAGAACGGAAGGCTGGTTTAGAGTATTTAATTTTTTTTTTAATATAAAATAATTTTCATTTTATAGTTGGAAAGGAATATAACGTGCAAATTTTAATTAATGAGGGACGAAACATGCAGATTTTAAAATAATAAGGGATGATCCGAATTAATTTTTAAAAATAATGACTAAATAGGAATTGTGTAATTTACCCTTTTATATATATATATATATATATATATATATATATATATATATATATATATATATATATATATATATATATATATATATATATTTTAATCATTGCGTAGAGGCCAATGTGAGAGCCCAATCCAAGAGCGATCGGCCTAAATCGATAAAAGAGCTCGTTAAATTACAAATTGTGATCAAAAGCCCACAAGACTATTGAAAATCACACAATTCTTTTTCTTTCCCACCATCAGCCTGATAAACCCTTGTAACTCTACAGCATCTTCTGGTTTTACTCCCTTCCAAAAAAAAAAAAAGATGAAGGCTTCATTCAGTGGAAGCTACGACGTCAACAATTCCGACGGCACGGGTTCCATAGTAGTGAACGCCGGCGGCGTCAACTTACAAGCTTCCGTCACTGGTGGCACATTCTGCAACGGGCCTCTTTTAAACGACCTTACTCTATCCGTAGAAAGCCCTGGATCCTTCGTCGTCGATTATATCGTCCCCAAAAAGGTGTAAATGAGTATTTATGTTTGACTTTCATCTAGATTTCCATTTTGCAGCTAATACTTTAGTTTTGCTATGAAATTAGGATGTGCGATTTCAGTTCATGAATACATTTAAGATTAACGAGAAGCCATTGAACTTGACGTATACACACTCGGTAGTTGAGAACACGACATCATTGGATGGTACGCTAGCGTTGAATTCTAATCATAAGGTTTCAGCGAATTACGGATTTAAGTCTGGGAGCTGTAAGGTGAAGTACAATTACATGCATGGAGGTGTGACGACTATTGAGCCTTGCTATGATTTTGCTGAGAATTCGTGGGACGTAGCTGTGTCAAGGAGAGTTGACGATGACAGTGTGGTTAGGGCTTCGTATCAGTCGTCCACTAGGGTTTTAGGGTTGGATTTGACAAGGAATTCCTCTAATAATAGAAGCATCAAGGTAAATTCTCTCTCAACTTTCACTTTATTGATGTAATTTATGTAGCTTTTAATGTATAACAGATGTTGAATTAGTAACACTGTAACAGAGGAATTGCAGTTATTTGATGTAATTTGCGTAACTTTGGAATTGGGCATGCTATGTGAAACAGTTCTTGACATTTGGTTCTTAATGCCTTTCAGGTTTCTGCATCAGTGAATTTAGCAGATAAGAAAAAGAAGCCAACCATAAAAGCCGAAAGCATCTGGGATGTCGAGATTTAATTGCTCCAATTCAAGAACAAAATTTTTGTTAGTAACTACTCGTTTTGCTAGTATTTATTTAAAAAAAAAAACTGGTCAAAGTAGTTTTTGTATATATATCACTGCATAATTTTTTTTTGGTGACAATTAGATTACAAAAATAACTTTATGAAAACTACCCTAACAAAAAGATATTGATCCTATTTCAATTTTCATGCTACATATAAGGATTAATCTTTGAGCTTAGATGCTTTCTATATGAGCTCAATTGTCTCCCAATATCTTCTGCTACCCTTTCTGCATCATTCGAAGCTCCAAATAAGCCTTGCCCTGTGAATCCTATGCTGTAAATTCCATTTCTGCCCTTCATGTTACTTATCCATGAATTTTTGGTTTTATTACCCTGTTCTTGTCCTGAAAAACTTTCCCCCTACAAGAAAAAAATCAATCAATGAAAAAAAAAAAGCACACATTTGGAAATTAAATGCATTCTTATGTTGTATTATTATGCATTGCAGATTGTACCTTTAACCATGAAGCTACATTACTTGTATAACCAGTAGCCAAGATTACCGAATCAAATTCTTCCACTTTTCCATCAATGAATTCCACGTGGCGAGATGTGAATCGTTGGATTTCACCCACAACCTATCAAAAATAAACAACTTAAAATATTTAGTCTAAAAATAGTATTAACTAGGATTATGTCAAGGTGATTTATATTTACCTTAATTTGGCCAGACTTAATCTTAGATAATGATCCAACATCCAAAACCGGTGTTTTTCCGGTTTTACCCTTGAGTTTAAGAGGTCCATCTTTAGGTCTTACAATACCAACCCTACTTGTGTCTCCAAGAGTCATCCGTGAATATACAATTAAGAACCAATCAACAAATCTTAAAGGAAACAACTTTAGCAAACCAACTGCAATCGCAAAACACGATCTTCCTAAAATGTCCCTAGGTAATATATGCAACTGCATACATTTTTAAATTATTCAATAATTCATATCAAATAAATATTAAACAAAAAAAAAAAAAGAAGAATATGTTATATTATATGTACCTTATCTCTTACTACTAAAGAAACTCTCGCACCATTATGACACAAATTCAAACTAATCTCCATCCCCGAATTCCCACACCCAACAACCAAAACATTCCTCCCTCTAAACTCACCACCGTTTTTATACTCACTACTATGCATCACTTTCCCGCCAAAAACCTCCAACCCATCAAACTCCGGCACCACCGGGGCGGCATTATCTCCGGTGGCCACCACCACCCACCGCGACACAAACTCCGTCCGGTTCGCCACCACACGCCACAAACCAAAACCATCGGAAGTTGTCTTGTATTCTGCACTCTTAACCTCGTACCCAAACATGGGACGAATTGAAAAGTGTTTGGCGTAGGAATCGAGGTAAGCGATGAACTGTTCCTTGGAGGGGTATTTTGGGAAATTATTAGGAAAGGGGAAATGAGGGAGTTGACAAAAGTTCTTGGGTAAGTGAAGCTTAAGGGAATCATAGGATTTTAGTCTCCATAGAGATGCTAAACAATTTTCTTTTTCAAGAATGACAAAGGGTACCCCTCGTTTTCGAAGGCATGCGGCTATAGCTAAACCCGAAGGTCCAGCACCCACGATTAGAGGGCCGGGGACATAAACACGCGTTAATTCCATGTCATCTGTAGTTTGAGAGAATCCCATGGATTATGGTCAAAGGTGTAGGAGTGAGAGTTTGAAATTTGAATTTGAATGAATGTATATAATGAGAGGTTTAGAGAGGTGGTGTTTGTGTCTTATTCTGTATATTGTTGGTTTAATGGGTTTAGTATTTATATTGTATTTTGGTATTTTTCTATGTTAAGCAATAAGCATCGTTGTTGTACTTTATTTATGGGGGGCCTTTGCTTCAATGTTCATTATCCGTATTCTATAATATTTTAGCGAGTGCCAGTTCACAAAAGGGGAGGCTTTTTTGGTGTTTTGGGTAAATAACCCATCAACAATTGACCCGAAATTTTGGAGGTTTCTCTCAAAATATGGACCCGGTTATTGGCTGTTAGTGAAGTACATGCACATCGTCTGGTCCTAAACAGTCTGGTCTTTCTTAACAAAAAAAAATAGTCTTTGTAAGACTTGTTCGGTTTAGGACGTTTTTCTTTTCATTTTCATATATTCTTTTTCTTCAAAAATTAAATTATATGATCATTTAATAATTAGTAATAAGTTATAAAAAAAAGCTCCAACTAGGTACTATTAATATTGTAAGTTTAACAAACTAGATAGGTGTTTGAGATTGATTATTTAAAACAAATTAAAGCTTATATGGTACCAAAAGAGTATGAAGTATTATTATTGTTCATGGGATGGTGGTCACACTTGAGTTGAACACGTGGTAAGCTACTAAGCTTTCTTGATGAAATACATTTTGCTATAATGGACCAAAAAATAAAAACCATGCATGACGTGAAGCTTTAGTGTCCGTCGATGGTGATGAAAACACAGAAAATATGAGGTTGTGATATGTTGATTGTGGGTGTTTTTTAGAGTTTAGAATGGTAAAACTGTTATTTTGTTTTTATTTATAATAAACACTATCCAAAAAATTGAACCAAGTATGAAGTATCAAAAACAATTTATTTAAGATCAATGAACACTTTTGAATTTATGCCATCTAAAACGCTAAAAAAATCCTTATCATATCAATATACAAATTTAGAACCAAATGTGGTCAAATTTTACGTAGGGTTTTAGTTTTTAACTAAAACATTCAGTCACAGTCACTCACCGTACCATGAACTGGGGTGTGACTGTTTAAAAACAATCACATCAATCAATCAGGATTGAGACCAGTCCTAATCATTACAATCATTTTTTAGGACCAGTTTCTACCAGTCAGATTATGATTAGTTTCAACATCGAACTGTTTTGTGAAATATGTTGATACGAGTAGCACACAGGATTGATACCAGCAACCGATTATGACATATTGCGGTTACGAAATGGAGTGAGTAAATCTGTTAGATTTTGTTTTCCATACACTTGTCACTAAACGGCCATCATTTTGAAGGGGCCTTAGTTTCTTCATGAATGTATGGTAGTGGAAGTCCATCCATGGCCTAATGCTTGTTCATATGCTGATCAAGCTTTTGTCTTTTATATTTTTTGTGGGACTGGCAAAACATGTGTTTGGCTAAACGTTTTCTATTTACATTTCCCCTTTTTTCAACTCAAATCTTGATAAAAACATTTGTTTTATTTACCAAACATAAATCAACTTAAATTTTTTTTTTTTTTTTTTTTTTTTGTATAAATGGCAACTTGAAAGAGGTGTAGAAGTTTAAACCTAATGAAACATATTTATTTTTATTTTTTAGTGAAAAGGAAATGGTCATATACTAAATGAGCTTTTCTTCTTTTGTGTATTTTGAAAGGTTTAAAAAGATGTGAACAGAAAACATAAGTGTTACTAAACGTGTATTTGAGTGGTGGGTAATGGATGTTGATATATAAGGAAAGTAGATGGAGTACAGTTTTAAGGTGGTGATTAAAAATTGGATTATTGTGTACTAGAAATGATTATCGGTTAAAGTTTGAAAGCAACTTTAAGCAGATATGATCGGTTTTAGAGACTTGGAATATGCATAGATGTGGGGGTAACACTAATATGCTCTTTGGTCTTTAAGCCACGACACAGATTGTTTTAATTGTAATCCATTGTACATTAAACATCAAATCCTATTAATTTAATCATTCAAATTTTGTGTTACCAATTTAATTGTTTATTTGTCGACTGGCTATAAATGAACCACATGAACAATGTTCATGATATGGACTGAACGATCACATAAACATACAAATTTTATTTTTCATGTTTTTTATTTAACAAATCCAAATTTTATTTTTCATGTTTTTTATTTGATTTAACAAATCATTTTGTTCATGTTTGTTTTCGCTTGATAATCATATTGGCTAATAAGAACGATTTTGTTATATGAGCATGTCCTCAAATCTTTTGTCATTACATAATTTTGTTATCCATTATCACATAATTTCAAGTTGATATTCTCATGATCTCATCACTAATCTTATCCATTGAATTTTTGTGTAGTATCAACCCGTTTAATTAAACGGGTTCAAATATCTTAAACCTTTTGATTTCATGTGGTATCAGTTTTTGTCACCTCAAAATGACACCTTTGCATATAAACAAGCAGAAAAAAATGATGTTATCCCTTATTAGTCTTTTTCGTTTCATTTTAGCTTATCTAGATCAAATTTATGATCTCTAATGCATGCAAGATACAAATGTAAATTTTAATCCAATCACCTTGAGACTTGAATTAATGTTCTTATGGATCTAAGTAACTTATCATTAAAACCATGGGATTAGCTATCAAGTATCAAATCGAACTTTCAACTATATATTAGATTCCATACATGAAGAAGAACAACAGTCTAAAACACTGAATAAATGAGGAGGCTTATTGTCAGGACAAAATTTGAGCTTCTAACCTGTGTTAAAAAGTTTAAACAAATGACAAGATTCAGAAACTGAACCAAAAAAGAGCTTCCAACTGTAATAAAAATCAATAAGCAACAGAAAAAAAGCTCCATATTTGAGCTACAAATCACTCAAACTAACTAGAAATATAACATTTGTATCACTTACCTCGTTGACAAAATCCAACCACCAGTCTGGAGGCTATTGGCAGCATGTTTGTGCGTATCAGTGGTTTTATTCCCATATTTATGATTTATCAAACAGGGTTCATGACCTAGCTTCTCTTGCAGGATCAATGGCATTACTAGCTAATCCAAGTTCATTCTCCAGTTTTGACCAAGCAACCAAAAGGTTAGGAGGGAACTTCTTCCTCATTGTCCTGATCATCCCTTTTGCATCCTTGGTTCTTGACTTTTTAGCTAACCCTTCAACCAAATGCTTCAATGTATTGAAATCAGGTATCTTGTTTACCTTCACACTGTGCTTAAACACCTTGTAACCAGTCTCAAACTGCTCATTCTTACACAGATAAAACAACAGTGTTCTAAATGTTGCAGCATTGGGTTGACAGCAGTGTTCTTCCAACTTCTCATACACTTCCTTTGCTTCCTTC